CGGACTCACGGACCCATCGCTCGGTGGTCCCGCGGGTGGGAGTCCAGCGTTTCTCCCGGCAGTGAAATTCAGGGCAGTAGAATGCACGGCCCCAGTGGGGCGGAGGCATCCCGCTGTTACCGCCGCGGGAGAAGTGGGAACAGGACGCTGTAGAGCCTGGGCTCTCTGGGGGAGCTGCTCCCGGGCCTGCGGGACTGAGTGTCGCTGAGCTCGGGGATCGAAACCAGAGCGCACATCCCCTTTGTATTCTTTCGAGGGGAGCCGCTTCCAGTACGACCCCGGGGAGGGGGAAAAAAAATTAAACTCCTTATCGCGTTGCATAATTACGTTCATCGGGTTTGGGGACAAGAGCTGTCTCTGACAAAACGTTCATTCTCCCTAATGCCGCGGAAACATGAACCTTTCTAGAGCGCAGGAGCGCCCCGAAGGACTTGCGACTCAAATCCCCCTCAGCCGCGAGAGCACCTCCCGAGCCCGGCTTCCTCTGGCCTCAGTCGATGCTCTTAATTAAAGGCAACTGCCCCTTTTTGTTAAAACCCCGCCGAGAAGGGTTAGGTTCCTACTTCTCGGGAGGCAGACGGCGTGTGTTGGCTGCTGAGCACCGGACTCTCTGACCAGGGCGGGGCAGTCGCTAAGTGTACCCCTGCCAGCCCTGTATGCACGAAGCACCTTGACAGGGAGAGACGTGGGGTTGTGGCGCCAGTTTGTTACAAATCCATTAAAGGAAAGGCTCGGGGCCAGGATGTGGACCCCTCTCCAGAACCAACAATCCACCTGCTGTAGGCACCCCAAATACCTCGAGGCACCTGCGCGGCTGCTGGGCGGAAAGCGCGGAGAGGAGTGCGGGGGCCAAGCCCTGACGGGAGAGTGGGGCAGGCGCTCACGGGGGGCCGGGGTGTGTGAGGCCAGGTGGGCCGCTGCCCCAGGCACGTCCCGTCGGGGATCGCAGCGACATCGCTCTGAGCTGGGAGGGAAACCCTGCGGGGGGAACCACGCTAGCAAACGCCCCCGTGAGACTCCGGCAGCCTCCGCGGGCGGAACGGGCTACCCGTAGATAGTCCCAGAACTTCATATAAGAGCTGGAAACGAGAAACGAGAAACTCGCCTTCCTCTCTTTCTCTCTTTTCTTCTTCTTTTTTTTTTTTTTTTTTTTTTCCTGGGGTGGGGTGGTGGCGGGGGAGGGGGTGAGAGGGTGGGGAGGAGGTTTGGTGGAGGCCGTCCGCCTTAGCAGGTGCATTTGTCCCAGACGGGAAAGCCTCCGCGCCCCACTGCTGCCCGTGCCGGCGCTGCCGCCCCCGCGGTGCGCGCAGGTAGCGAGAGGGAAGCGGGCGCGGCGAGGGAGCGCGGATCGGAGAGCGCTTGGGTGGCTGCGGACAGCGCGAGTGGCGAGGAGATGCAGCAGCGATGCCTGCGGTACAGGAGGGCTTCCAGCAGGAAAAGCCCCTGCCGCTCCTCTTGGCTGTCGGGCGCACGTCGGGCCGCGCCAGCAGCGGTCAGAGAGCTCTCGGCCCGGGGAGCTCTCGGCCCCTCGGCGGCGCGGAGGACGCGCTGTGGCCCCGCTTGGCAAGGGCCGGTCCTGCTTCCCCTCCCTGCGCAAAGACAGCCCAGAGCGCACTGCGGGCTCGTCGCCTGCTTCGCTCAACTCTTCGGAGCTACTTGGATCGGGGATAATTGGAGGGATGAGAGAAGTTGTTTTATCCGTTTCCTAAAGCGAATAATCCTTCTCCTTCCTTTTTATTTTTTTTTTATTATTTTTTTTATTTTTTCCCTTCTTCTCTAAAGTAATTTCTTTTTCTTTATGAGTACCAAAGATAAATAAATGTGGGCAAGTATGCCCTTCTTCTCCCACCTCACGTATCACTCCGGTGACGTGGGGAAAGACTCCCGAAGAAGCAGAAGGAAATTATGGGCAACGCTAACACCATCGAGTACACTCCTCTACTAAAAAAAAAAAAAAAAAAAAAAAAAACCAAAAAAAAACTAAAAAAAAAAACAACACAGAACAACAAAACCCATAAATAGGGGATGGAAGAAAAAGAACTTGCAGCGAAGCTCCCCTCTCTCGAGCCCCAGGGGAGGAGTAGGCAGTAGGTTACCGGAAGGAGCAGAGATTAAGTCTACCTTTACCACGCTCAAAATTAAGAAGCATCCTAGTGTCTGCTCTGCTGAACAGCAAGGAGGCTTTCAAAACGCCGCTTTGCTAGGTAAAAATTACTCCGGGCACCTCTCCCGCAATTCCTCCCCCTCCGCGCACCCTGAAACCTGCCGAGGAGCACGAAATCTGCCTGGTCCTGCCGGGCACCTCCACGGAGCAGGCCTGCAGGTTTTCCTGTAATTCCGGGATTCCCTGTTGTAAGCTCTTAAACAGAATATTGAAAACATTTTCCTTATGGTGCCTGTTCTTGCCTTGTAGCGCTGCTAGTAAACAAATAAGAAAAGTGTGTTAAAGGGAGGCTATGGTTACAGCATCTTGGCCTAATATTCCCACATATAATTAAAACCATAGCCACAATAATGCATAAATAAATAACAGCAAACAGAAGGGACCGTTCCTGTTTCTGTCGAAAACAACTGTTTTGGCTCTGTCACTGTATTATTTTATTGGAGAAGTCTATGCTGTTCCCTCCTAATTTTATTTTAATTTATTCTAGTGGGAGAGACAGCAGGGAAAGAAATGATGCATTTGAGTTTTTTTCTTTTAAGTCCATGTTTAGTTTTAATTTTCCTGTATTTTAAAATAAACACGTTGGCTGCAGAATGTTTGATCTTTGCAAGAAGGAAGCCTATATTGTAAAGGAATGTGCAGCAGTTTGGTATGAAAATGGGGTTGTGACTCACAGCTGCAGGCAGAAAAAAAAGGTGTTGTGGTGTCAGCCAGAGGTGTTCAGTCTAATAACTCAAGCTGTAAACTGTATCCTCTAAAATTACTTACGTAGTAAATCACTCTGGAGTTAAAAAATAGACTGGAAAGTGTAAGGGAGGGAGGAAAAATCTTTTAGAAGTTCCCTTCATGAAAATTATTTGTAATGATGGGAATTAAGAGTTTAATATCTCCCTCATTTTCTTAAATGTGAGGCTGATATAGTTAATTGCCACTATATAGCCGATGGTGCTTACTCTCGGTAGTTCTCGAAGCAGCAGAAACTTGAAATGCGTGACTGGGGATAGCTGTTTCACCGACTGCTTTACGCAGTTTACAGCTAATTTTGACCATCTCGAAGAGAAAAAAAAAATTAAAGAGACAGTCAGGGCACTGAAAGATCTTAACAATTTTGTATCGCAGCGAAAATCCTCGGAAAAGAGCCTACTCCCTCTGCACAGCCGAGGGGAAAGCGCCTCTGACATGCCTCTCTCCCCGAGACACGGCGTGTTTCCATCTCTTTGCCTCCCGTAGTTGTATTAGTCTGGTAACAGTTGGGAAACTGGGGAGGCTTTGAAAGGAGAGCTCTCTTCTAGCGTAAGTGCTGGGTTTGCAGCAGTCAGGGAGAGCAGGGGGAAAAAAAAAAAAAAAAAAGAAAACACTCAACTCCAGTGTCATCTGCAGCGTTTTGCTGCAAAGGAATGGAGCGAGTAATGTAGCAGAAATCCGAAAGGAGCATCCCAAGTCAAGATGTTGCCTTTCTGAGGAGCTTCCCCCGTTTCCAGGAGCAGTTTCCTCCGCTGGAAAGGAGATGTTGGCCGTGTCATTCGGGTGGTTGCACCTCGGCTAATAGGGAAAATAACTTGCTGGGAAGATTTCCATCAAGAGACACATTGAGAGATGGAGAAAAAAATTAAGCAAAATAAGAAAAAAAAGGACAAGAGAGAAAAAAAAAACTGGGAGAAATGCCCTACGGACGTCAGCAAATGTTAACGGTGGAAATAAGAAGTCAACAACAATTAAAATCTGGAAGCCACGTTCATTAGTATTCAGCACATACGATCTATCTTTTATGTTTATCTTTCTCCGCGGATCAATATTGTAGCAGCATGTGCCGGGAACAAGCAGAAATCTGGCCACTGCATGTGGCTGACCTTTCCCTCTCTCCCTACAGGTCAGATCGTCTTCATCAAAACAGGTCAGATCGTCTTCATAACTATCATCACCTTATGCGGCCACAGCCACGGCTCTCATTAAAACCAGTATTTAATCTAGGCGCTGTGGCTAAGAATCAAAGGAGAAGGGATGTTTGCCCACACAGAGGAATTAGCAGTCTAGGAAGAAGAAGGAAAAAAAAAAAAAATTTGGAATGAAAATTGCTCTTTTTTTTTTCTTTTTTTTTTTTTTCATTTCTTTTCTTTTTTTTTTTTTTTTTTTTTTCCCCACCGCAAACTGCTGTACACCGAGATCCAGCCCGAACCCGCGCACACCCGCACAACCCCCATCTCCTGCGGGGGCTCCGCGGCCAGGAACGCGGGTCGGGCCGAACCCCGTCCCTGCTGCCCCCGGGACGCCCCGGCCGCGGCCACCCACGGACCTGCGGCGGCCGGGGCGCTGTGCCGAGCCCCCCAACACCCGCGCTCGGGGACCCCCGCGGACAGGTGTCGGGGAGATCCCGTCCCACGGCAGCAAACCCTGCCCGCCTTGGGCTGGGTCACGCCGGGTGCCCCCCGCGGACCCCACGGCCGCACTCAGCCCCCTGCGATGCGCGATGCCGCGCGTGTAAAACATCCGCTCAATCACTTACTGGCGCTTGAATTACTCCCCACCCCCCCTTCCCCGCTTTAGTTGCCGATTATTTTCTTTTTAACACCAAAAGAGCGTCCTTCCCCCTCCGGAACGCAACAGCTGATCCCGCGCGTGGGGCTCCGGCGCGGCGAGGGGGCCGCTGGAGGAGTCCTCGCTCCACGCCGGGTCCCGCCGCTCGTCCCCGCCAGTTCCCCCGCGCTCCTCATTGAAAAGGAGGAGCTCCTCATCCCCGCGCTTGGGACGCGGGGGATCCTGCTCGTGTTTCCCGAGTTGCGGGGAAGTGGGATCCGCGGTCCATTTTGTGCCGCGCTTCCTTTTCTCGGGACAGCAGTTAGGCAGCCACTTTGAAGTGTTTATTAAAGACATGAAACCTCTAGTGAAGGTCTTCCCTCACCCGGTCGTCTTGTTCTTCTCCTTCTTCTTCTCTTTTCCTTTCTTCTTTTCTCTCTCCCAAAAGTATTAAAGACAGATAAACTGTCCAGAAAATAAATTCTAAAAAGAAAAAAAAAAAAAAAGAAAGAAAGAAAGTGAGGAAACCCCAAGCACTGGGGAAGGCTTGCACTTTGGGACAGAGGGGGCCACCGTGCCCTGCAGGGTGGGACAATAGTTCTTGCTTGCTCTACTGCTAATATGCAGCTCCATCCCTGGTCGTCTGGCTCGGGGAAAAGAGGGGGGGGAAAAAAACCCAAAACAATAGGGGGAAAAAAATCCAAAACCTAAGAGGAATGGAAAAAAAAAAAAAGAAGGGGGGGGGGGGGAAAGAGGAAGGAAAATAAAAGCGACCCACGAAATTAAAATCACCAATAAAAAAAAATTCACCAAGCCTCACAACCATGCGTGAAGATGACAAATAGAAAAATATACATACCTCGCTGTGCCCGGGAGCACGTTTAGCGTGACTTGTGTCTGGGGAGAGGTTTGGGGGAGCCGGCTATGTCTTCATAGCGGGCAGGAAATGTGTACGAGTTTCTGAAAACAAAGGAGAAACTTAAAAGGCTGATACGGGTTTGGGGAGGTCTGGTCAGAGCCAAACGGAGTGGCTGCAGCCCGGTCTGCTGCCCCCCGGCACCGGCGGCGGGGGTTGGCCGTGCAGGGGCAGCCCCTTGCCCGCTGCGGAGCCCCGCCGGCACCGGCAGGCTCGGGAGCCGCTCCACGCTCGGATTCGGGCGAGAGCTCCTGCATTTTATTCTATTCCGGTCTGGGCCGTTGTCATGTCTGTTTGCTCGTTGGGAGGTTGGTTTACCTTTGGGTTTGGGTTCGGGTTTTTTTCCTGCCACCACCGGCTGCAACCCAAAGCCACTGAGCAGCCAAGCCAGGTGAAGCAGAGCGAGGGCAGGTGACAGCAGAGCCCTGAATTGCTCTCCAATTGCGTGTGCGAGGGACAAAGCCTGTTTTATGGACGGACCCTCAAATTTTTTGGCTTGAGAAGAGAGAGTAATTCCCAGGGAAATCAATCCGTCTTTTCAGGGGGTCCGCAGGAAGAGTTGGGAGAGGATTTCATTATTAATAATAACGATAAAAACTAAACCCACCCCTCCATGCTGCTTTTCACCGTATAAAGGAAGAATCGCACCACCGCAGGACAGGCGGCCAAGTGGGGCTGCCACAGCTGGGCACGGGGTGCCGACAGCGGGGCAGCGCCGTGCCTCCCGCTGCTCGCCGACGGCGGGGGCCGTGGGCCGAGGCGGCCCGGGAGCCGTCGGGGCAGAGCCGTCGGGGAGCGCGGGCCACCGGCCGGGCACCCGCTGGCTGTGGCTGGGCACGAGGGGATTGTGGAATGCCAGGGCAGGCTCGGGACTGCTGGGGAAGCCTCAGGCCTCCCTCCAGATTGGTTCCCAAGCTGTCTTCAGGGCCAGGGCAAGGAGATTTGGCAAGTGCAGGTTCAGCGTGGGAGGCAAAGCTGGGGAGAGGGAGGGGTTTGGGGTTGACGGTTTCGAGGTGGGCAAAGGAGAGGGGCGAAGAGGAGGACTTCGGGGCCAGCGGGCCACCCTCACACAAGGCTGTGAGAGGGATCTTGGCTGCTCTACCCCCTAAAAAGCCCCAACCCCTGAACCTGATAACTTCCCGCTCTCCTTTAAGCGTGGCAGGGCCGGGCCAGGGTCAGGGCACGAGGGAGGCGGGTGGAGAGGGGCTGCGGGCAGGATGCGCAAAGGCGAGGGTCAAGTTCAAGGCCAGCCTGGGTAGGACAGGGAAGGAGGGGGAGCTTACTCACTGCCACGGCCGCCACGGCCGCATCCCTGGGCCTGCCGGAGGACAGGCATCCCTGCCGGAGGGACTGGGGACTGTCCCTGCTGCCACACGACCTGAGCTTTGGCCAGAGGGAGGCCGCTTACCCCCCTCAGGGATCATCCCTGGGCTCCTCTGAAGACAGAACGGCTCTGAGGGGAGGGAGAAGGGGAGCCCAGTTCCCGAGCGCTTCTCTCCGGTCGGAGCTGAGCCCACGGGGGCAGGGGATGGCAGAGCTGGGTTGGTGGCCCTTGGGCAGGGCTGTTCGTGCACCTCTGGGCCCGGGAGGGGATTTGGGCAGACGGTGGTTGGCTCTGAAGTGGGACCCCCGTATGGTTTTTCAGCTATGGGAAGGCCGGCAGGACAAGGAGGGATCCTCTCAGCTGTATTTCCCACGGATGTCTCCAAGAGGCAGGCGGCATATGCCAATGATTTTAATAAATTTTTTTTTACGTAATATTATTACCACCGAACATAAATTAGGTTTTAATAGCAGTTTGATTACCCGGGGAGCTGCCGGGTGTGCGGGGATGGCCGCTCTGGGATGAGCACGGCCGCCGAGGAAGCTCCGGATCTGCTCCACATCGAAACTTCCTTGCCAGCGGCGGGACAGGGGAGAGGGGGTGTCTTTCCCTCCCTCCTTCCCTTCCCCTGGGTGTAGGTAACCCTCATCTCACCCCAGAAGTGAGCAGGGCCCCCTGTACCCTCATCTCCTCACCCAACTCCCTCACAGCTCTATTGATATTTGAACACACGGGACAAAGCCCGAAAAACCCAAAGCGACGACTGGCCCGGGGGGGCGTGAGCGATGGGCTCGGCCGGGTGTGAGGAGCAGAGGGGCTTCCCCGGCTGCACAAGCTGCCGCTGAAGGCAGCGCAGCCACCGCAGGGCGCTCGGAGCCCGGCTCACAGCACTGCCTCTTCAAAGGGAGTATTTCGGTGGCTTGACAAGGCCGAACTTTTTCCACGATTTCCCTGCCGCTGTCACACCCGCCCTGTGTGTCCCGGTGCGGCGGGCTGTGCCCGGAGAGCTGCTGGCCGGCTGCCCTGCACGGGCTGCTCCGCCGGCCGGGCCCGACGTCGCGCGTGGAGCCAAACGCCGGGCCAGCATCCCGGGAAAGTCATCGCCCGGCTGCTCTCCGTCCTTCCCTGAACACATCTGACAGCCCAAACCGCTCCCTGGGCTAAAATTAAAAAAAAAAAAAAAAAAAAAAAGAGTGAGAGAGAGAAAACTCGAAAGGGAAAAAGGAGCTCTTGGTCATCATAACTTTCTTCTCTCCCGGGCTGTATGGAGGCTGCCAAAAAGATGACTACACAGGAGGCAAGAACCATCCACGCTCAAAGCAGCCCAGCTCAGAGCCTTGTCATTGCCCCTCCACCTCCGTCCCGAAACGCCCCCCTTTCTCAGCCTGTAGGGCAATGATGTCCCCAGCCAGACACGCATCGGGGAGAGAGAGGTGAGCCTGAGGAAGGCAGGAGCCGGAGGAAGATGTGCTCTCGCCGCGTAAATATCTTACTAAAGGAGATCTTGCCTTGAAAGTCATTTGGAGAATATGCATACCCTCTCTCACAATTTTTTTTTTAGCTCAGAAGCTTCATAAAGTTTCAGGGGCTTTTGTGGCTTTTTTTCACCCCTTTTTTCTTTATTTTTTTTTCCTTTTTTTCTTTTTTTTTTTTTTTTTTCCTTCTGGACGAGAGAGCCCAGCTGGAAGGAATCCCCCTCTCCCAGTAACCAGCAGAAGTTTTAAAAGCATTTGTTTTGCAGTCGCTGCTCAGCTCATCACATACCTTATAGCAGGTTTCAGAGAGCCTTTGGCAAAAAAGGAAACAGCTCGTGTAGTTTCAACACGTTTTATTATATTTCTGTATGCATTACTCTCAAAACATATCACAAGAAATGATGAAACCACTTAAACCTTCAAATAAAAAATCTGAAACAGTTTATGCTCACAATTGTACATATTTATAGTTAAGAAACATTCTTTATAAATACTGTTTCCTCTGTAGCAAGTTAATACCATAATTTAATTACAAATGGATAAATATGGTAACAGGTATTTACAGGAGGAAGGGCGTTATTACGGAAAAGCTAACGGCACGACGTTTATTTTTCCTCACAATCTTCCGAACAGGAACTAACAAATTGAACTTGCAAAAGCACTAAAACATCACATGTAAACCCAGCTAACAGAAAAATACATTCACAAGCGTTGTTGTTCGTGTGTGTGTCTGTGAGTAACAGAATGGAGACTTTGGCACGGTATTTCTTCCCCAGTCTATAGTTGAAATGCAGTTTACAATCAAGTTGCTTCTTAAAAAGGAACACAATATTCAAGATATCACAATTACAAAAGAAACATTTTTTTTCCTTCCACGTTACTTTTTTTTTTTTTAAAGGATGAACTAAAAGAGGAGAAGAGAAAGAAGTGGGAAGGGAGAGCGGGAGAAAAGAAAACCAGTCCATCACTTTCTCGGGGAGGGAGAAGGGAGGGGGGGAAGAAAGATTTAAAAAAAAAAAAAAAGAAGAAGAAGAAAAAGGGACCAATCCGTTGTTTACAAACGGGACGAACTTCTATACACCGACAATCCAGGAAAACCTCGTTCCCCACCTCGCCGGAGGAAGGAGAAGGCCGCTATATACACAGTTCATGGGACGGGAAGGCGCAGGCTGCTCCGGGCGGAGAGGCGCGGGGACCAGAGGAGTTTGAGTCTCTGATCTTTTGTCTGAAGGCTCCGGAGGGAGAGTTTCTTTCCACCGGTTTGGGAAGCTTTTAGCTGGGTGATGTGTTGGTGGCGCATGGGGTTGTTTTTCTCTCTCTCTCTCTCTCTCTCCCCTTTCCGTTCCTCCGTTGGTTTACTCATTCTCTTATGTTTTTTCAGCACATAGTTTTTGGAATTTTTTTGCTGGTTCAAAATGTTTTCAAAAATAAAAAATCCAACCAAAAAAAAAAAGGGGAAAAAAAAATACGCGAAGGCGGGAGGGTGTGGGGAGATGAAGGCCCCCTGTCCCCATCCTGCTCGGCCGTCATTTCGCTGCCGGCGGGTGCGGCGGCATCTCCCGGCGCGTCTCCGGCGGGCTTGCTCGGTCCCTCCTGCCCGCCGCCACCGCCACCGCCGCCGCCGGGGCGGGGAGGGCGCGGCGGGGCCGTGCAGAGCAGTCCGGCGGGGCCCTACACGTACCACTCGTTGAAGTTGGAGGAAAGGCCGCTGTGGCCGCCGCCGCCGCCGCCACTGCCGCCGCCGCCGCCGCCCCGGTGCACGGCGGACACGGCCGCTGCCGCCGCCGCCGCCGCCGCCGCCGCCGCAGGGGAGAGGTTGTTGGTGCTCTGCGACTCGGCGCTAGGGGACACCAGCCCCGGGGGGGTGGAGGACTCGTAGCCGGAGCTGGCGGCCGGGGAGGATTCGGAGCCTTGCGGGGACGACTCGTGCACCTGGGGGGCAAAGGCAACACGGCCGGGTGGAGGGGGGATGGCGAGGCCGCGGCCGCCCCCCGGGCGCGCCCCCCGCCGCCGGCCCGGCCCTCCGCCGCCCCTGGGCCCCGCGCCCGCCGCCCGCCGCCCCGTCGGGGCGCCCGGCGCGGGGCGGCCGCCCTCCCGCCTCCCGCCGCCGGCTGCGGGGCCGGGTACCTTCATGTGTTTCCGCAGGGAGCTGGGGTGGGTGTAGGACTTGTCGCACATCTTGCACAGGTAGGGCTTATCCGAGGTGTGGACGTGCATGTGCTTCTTGCGGTCGCTGCTGTTGGCGAAGCGCCGGTCGCAGCCTTCGAACTCGCACTGGAAGGGCTTCTCCCCTGCAAGAGAGCGGCGCAGCAGCGGGGTGAGCGCGGCCGCCCCCGCGCAAACCCCGCACAGCCCCGCGCCGAGTTTCCCCGCCCTCGTCCTGCTCTCCCAGTCGCTTCGTCCAGCAGCTGCCCTAAACAAGGGGCCGGGCGGCTGTGTCCCGGTACCCGCAGCGCCGGAGGGCCGCGTCGCTCACGCGTTGCCCTGAAGCGAGGCAACCCCCGTCCCCCACCTGGTTTTCCTACCAAAACCCCGGGGATATCCCCGTCCCGGTATCTTGCCTTATTTTATTTCAACCGGTGCCGGCATACATAGCCAGCCCCGAAAGAGATTGAAGAAGAAAGACGAATAAAATAAAATAAAAAAAGCATCACCGAGCCGTTTCGCCTCGGTACCAAATCCGCTATCCTGTTAAACTGGAAACCATTACCGACAGATTTAAGGCCGAGTATATTGTTTCGTGTATGGATATTCAAGATAAACGCACATCCGCTGGGAAAACTAAACGTCTGTAAAATACTTCATTTAATTTTCATAGGGATTCCTCTCGCCCGGCTGCCAGGACTCCAAATGCCGGGGAGTACTTTGGAGGTGAGAACTCCACATTCCCCCGCCTTCGGAAGGGGAAGCATTTAACATTAGATTCCATTAGCACCTAAATTGTTTCTTAAAGACATCCGCTCAGACACAATGACTTCAGTGCGGGCATCTCATGCAAATACATTTCTCAAATTTTAAACCTTGTTAAAGCTCGTCTCGCACCTCGCATCGGGCTTAGCACTTGAGAAAACAATAGGCCTCGAGATTTTTAGCCTTTCTCCGGGTAAATATTTGGAGTGGAAGTCGCTAAAATATTTGGCCGTCTTTTATGAAATAGTCTGGCACGGTTTGAGCCGGCAGGAGTAGTAAATGAATAATAGATGAGGCGGGAGGATGCGTTTATTTTTGTTACCCTTCGGCTCAGGCGATTTTCCATCAGGAAAGCCTGAGCTCCCTCGACCCTCTTCCACCTGATTTGGGTGGAAGTTTCTGAACTTCAAATCCTTTGCTCCCTATTATATAATTTAATAAACTGTTGCAAAAACACCTTAAATCACATCGAGTGAGACTTTAAAACCAGGGTTTTTTTAAATGAGAAAATTTTATTGCCTTGCTCACACCATTTAAATTTAATGGAAAACATTCCCAGTAAGGGACTTTTTGCCACTTCTAACGGGATTTAGGACTAATGATTGATTTTGCACGTATTTATATAGCTTCTCTCAGTATCCATAAATAAAAGACATGCTCACAAACGATGAAGTTGTATGCAAATACGTTGCACAGAGCAAGTGACTAAGGCGTTTCAGATGGATGGATGGATAGACGGACGGATGTCTTCCCGTATTTTAGCAAGACGGCAAAATTTGGTTCGCACTGTATACCGCGTTTCTGCGGAAAGACTCCGCTGAACCTGAATAGAGCACGAATCTACAGTTCTCACTCCCAAATTAAAACAAATCAGTAAAATATCCTTTCGAAATCTGGGATGGAGGGAGGTGCATGCTGCTGGGGAAGAAACCAAAACAAACGCAGCCATGTGATGGAGATGGTTAAAAAAAATAACCTGGAAGCTTATTTTATCACCCTCCTAATTTAGCATCACTCTGTCTGAATATCTATAAGTTTACATATATATATATATACACACATATATAGGCACGGGCAGAGGGAGGAAATCTGGCGAAAGAAACCCGAATTACCTGTGTGCGTCCTTTTGTGAATTTTGAGATTTTCTGATCTGGCGAAAACTTTTCCGCAGCCAGGGAAGGGGCAGGGGAAGGGTTTCTCTCCCGTGTGCACTCGGATATGATTGACCAGTTTGTATTTCGCTTTGAAAGGTTTGCCTTCGCGGGGACACTCCTCCCAGTAGCAGACATGGTTGCTCTGCTCGGGTCCCCCAACATGCTCCACCGAGACATGGGTGACCAACTCGTGCATGGTGCTGAAAGTTTTATTGCAACTTTTTTTGGGGTTGTTCAGCTGTTCGGGATCGATCCACTTGCAGATGAGCTCTTGCTTGATGCACTGCTGCCGCATGTAGCGGAAAAAGGCACCTGGGTGGTGGTGGTGGTGGGCTGCCATGTTCATGCCCATATTCATATTCATGGGGCCGTACTGGTTGTGCAGCTGAGCCGCCGAGTAAGGGTCAGTCCTGGGGCTGGAAACCTGGCGGTACTGATCCGACCGGGCGAATACCTCCCCCGGCAAGCCCAGTCGCATCTGCCCGTTGAGAACATTTTGGGAGGCGTGGGGGCCGTGCTGGTCGTGGATGCCCGGGAAGAGGAGGTGGCTCTGAGCGTCCGTGTGCGGGTGGTGCAGGCTGCCGGCCGCAGGGCCGAAGATGCCGTGCTGTCCGCCGGCCGGCGACGAGTCCCCGAAGCCCCGGCTGCGAAACAAGAAGTCCCGGGTAGAGTTGAAGGGCGCCCCGGAGTAGGAACCGACATGAGCGGCGTGGGGGCCCAGGGCGGCGGCAGGGTAACCGGGCGCCTGCGAGGTGAACGCCGAGCTCTGCCCGGGGGAGAGGTCGTGGGCGCCGGCGTTGAGCTTGAAGGCGCCCATGTGCGCCGCCGCCGAGTCCACGAAGCTGTTCTGCGCCGCCAGGCTCAGCTCCCGGTCCTGCATCTCCGCCGCGGCCGAGTGGTGGTGCCGGGCGAAGGTGCCCACTCCGAGGGCCGGGAACTGTGGGCCGGCGTCCAGCAGCATGTTCCGCGCCGCTCCGGGGACGCAGCCGCTGCCGCCGCTGCCGGCTCCCCGCTACAGCCTCCGCCTCCGGGCTGCCGCCGCCCGCCCGCCCGGGCGCGGGGCCGCTGCCGCTCCGCTCCGCTTTCCCCCGGCAGCCGC